TATGCCAGCTGACCGTGATGCAGAACAAAACCTGGGTAAAGAGGCCCCTGAGTCCCTATCATACAAATATAGCCCTGTGTCTTCCTTGCATTGATGTGTATCCTGAAAGTTTCTCCTTCTGAAGGACTTCAGAACAGAACCACCTCATGAGAACCCATTCCCTGTACATTTGGCTTCAAAGGATACCAAAGCACCTCGTCAGTCAGCCCAAAGACTCAGCCTGATGAGGAGTTTGTTGGGCTCATATTAAGGGAACAGAAACTGCGGCTACTGAGGTCAAAGCTGTTGTGCAGGCTGGGGTGAGCACCATCCCTCCCAGGCAGGTTTGCATAGCTGGACTGTATCAGGAGGGCTGCATGGAGAGGGTGAGGGGAGAGCACCAAATCCTTGCTTGCCTTTCCTCTGAGCCTTTGAGGGCCACTGCAGGTCTGCAGTCAGAGTCAGATTACAGTCCCAGGAGCCGGGTGGTCACATCAGTGTCTCCTGGAGCCTTGACAGAGGCAGCAGCCAGGCTGGATGAGTGCCTAGCTAGGAGCAAGCCCAGCTCTGGGGAGAGCACCAAGGCAGAAAGGAGTCAGCTCAGCCACTGTGCAAACCCCACAGCTGGGCACATGGGTCACAGGGGTGATGGATGCAAAGAGGGGATGCAGGCAGAGCATCGGCCAGGCTGGATTAGCAAGGTCAGTGAGGGTCAGAGCAGAGGGGCCCAGGATCCCCAGGGCATGCCAAGGTTAAGCACTTCCTGCCGCACAGCCAGCCCTTCCAGTTACTGCAAGCAGAACGATTTTCAGATTTTGGGAAAAGCTCTAAACCCTCTGAAGTAAGTTCACCCCACAAAATCCAGGGGCAAGGGATTCCCACAAGCTTCAGAGCCAGACTTCACACCAAAAGTTTTAAAACAGCCAGCCTTCAAGCCAGCAGAGAGTCTTCTGTGGTTTTTTTTTCTTTAAAAAAAAAAAAAAAAAAAAGTAAAATTCAAATGAAGGCTCCTGGGCAATCCCTTGCTTTAACACTCACTCCTCCAAACCCATAGCTTTACACAGCAAAATAAGCTCAGAGGCAAGGTGAGGCAAGGCATGCCAGACTTAATTTATTTTTTTTCCCCCCAAGGAGAAAAGGGCAGTGAAGGCACCTGATACCTCCTATAATTAGAGACAGTTCTTTACCCCTAATGCCACTGCCAGACCACCTATATTCCAATTTGGAAACCATAAGTATAACCCAGCCTCATTAAATAATCCATCTGGTCCTCCTCTGTTTATTTCCCTACTATTTTTCCACTTTAATGAGCCCAGCTGGGTCAGACTGTGACCAGTTACTCCTGAGCAGGGATCAGCCATCCCTCCATCCCACCCCCAAGGAATCTGGTGCACTGAGGGGTCCAATGACTCTGATAGTCTCCAAGTATCAGTTTTCCCAGACAAGCTCCTTCCAACCAAGGATATACTTAGCAACAGCAGTCATTTTAGCAAAGACCCTTGAGAGTCCTCTAAGGATCTGGAGAATTCAAGACAGCTGGGGACAGACATGGCAAGGAAACGCCTGGGGCTTGCTGGCAAGCAGAGCCTCACCCCAGGCAGTGACCATACATGGGCTGCCAAGGGCTCCTTGCAGCTCATGGGATGGGAAACCCCAGAAGGAAGGAGATGGGGAATTTGGGAAAAGCCAATCTCATCTCAGACCCCACAGAAAAGAGAAACCTGCCACATGAGCCGTGCTGCCTCTTAGGTGCAGATATCCTGCAGAGCACAGCCCAAGCTGTGGGGATGTGCATTGCTGTGGGTGTAGGATCTAAGGTCAGAGGCTACCTGAAGCCTCCAGAGTTCTCTGGAGAGAGCTCTGAGTAACAGGTCCAATGCATCCTGGGCTCCCAGCATCAAGGCAGGGTAGTCCAAGCAGCCACCTCCTCACAGTTCCTTCAAGCTTCTTGTTTAGTGGGGAAGGCTCACACTACAGCAGTTTCCTAATGCAGCAATTCCAGTTCATGGAAGAGAGAGTAACACCAGTCTGGTTTAAGCAGTGTTACTCTGGCATCAGCAGGACTTAGCCAGCATGTCCCAATTTGTATGGGGAAACAGTAGGTTATGTTCAAATTAAAATTTCTAGGACATTTTCTAATGCAAGTGCCTCTTCTATATGCACTGGACAGTTAAATAGACAAGCACTCCTATTTTTTTCCCAGCATCTCCCACTGTGCATTTACACCCAGGAGCCTTGGGATTTATTTTCCTGGCAACTTCATCACAAGACTCACTGCTCACACCTCCATCATGCTTTAGGCTGTCTTAGAAGCATTGTCCTGACCCCACCCATACACAGGTCAGCTTGAAAAGAGCTTTTTCATCAAGGAGAGGAGATCAGAGAGAGCTGAGTTAGCCACAGGGTGAGAAAACATAGAACCAAACAGCAAGTAAACACTTCCTTCCTCCATTTTGGGAGTGGAAATCATCACAGCCTAGCAACTGTTTAAACAGCACAAGTAAAAACAGGAAAAATTTAGAGGTGCACATGAAACTGTTACACAAGTTGTGAGGGAAAGTAATTCTCCTGATTTTTGAAACAAAGAGGAACATATTTTTGCTCGCTACATTTGTCATCAAGTTCCATTAAGAAATTTCATTAAAATTCTGAAACACACACAGCTAGAGAGGAAGGGATGCACCACCCTGCTGTCACTGATCACATATACTCTTTTTAAAGATGTTTTGAAAGGCTGTAAGGGTCTGAGTGCTACAGAACAGACTCCTCCAGACAGCTTCTTATTTAGTGGGAACTCCAGCAGGAAACAGAAAAGGGAACAAGCTGACCCTGCCCCACCAGCAGACCCCAGTGGTGGCCCTGCATCCACATACCAGCACCTACTGCAGCAAGAGGCGAGCAGAAAGGTTTGATTGCCTTGGGCCACACACAGCACCTGCTCCTTGCTACTGCAAGGTGAGCTGAGCCTGCAGCAGAGGCAAAGCCAGGCTGGAGCAATGCTGGGAATCAAGTAGATTCCAGCGCTGAGGAAACCCCTGTGCTCCCCCAAAAGCCAAAGGCTTCCCTTTGTTTCAGCAGAGAGTCTCACACAGAGCCTTCCAGCACCTTTTGAAGTTTCCAGTCAAATCTTCAGCCAAGGCTAATTGCTGTCAGGTGTCAGCCGAAACACTTAGGCAACCACTAATGACAGGAGATGACACACCTTTCTCCTCTCATTGTCACTCAAGGGGTTTTTTTCCCTGTCAGCATTAAGTGTGCTGGCTCTCAGAAGCCTTGGGGAGAAATGCTAATGCAAGCTTTGAAGCTGGAGGTGAAAAATCAGGCAACCTCCTAAGCTCACTGGATGCTCAGCCTGAATCCAGCCCAAATCTGAGTACTTCTGGGTGATGCACCTTGGCCGAGTTTCTCTCTGTCTGCCTCCACCACACACAGATGTGGTCTCTGCTACTGATTCTTTTAACCCCCATGGAAAGCTGTCTGCACTGGAGTGAACAGACCCCAGATTTTACAGTTTCTGCTGATAAAGCTACAAAGCGGAGTGGAGGCACAGGGAGATGTATAACCTTACAGCAGCTAGCCTGAAATATTGCCAGGTTAATTTGGCTAGAGACGTAGGGCACACAGCAAGAAATCAGATGTGCCCGGCAAGCAGAGGAGGCAGCTGATCTCCACCCACTGGTCTTAGAGATGGGACTGATTTTGGCTGTGGAGCAGGTTCAGGTCACCAGACCCTCACTGAGCTTGCCTGCTTCTGGAGCTGTCATTCCCCACTTGATCAACCCCCTCCCAGGGGCTTTGAAGTTCAAAGGGGATGAGAGGATGAGACCTTTAGAAAATCTAAGTCTCTCCCTACCTGGAGAAGCTTGTCAAAAGCCTGATGGAACATCTGATCCATTACAGCCTCATGGGTCATCATTGCTTTGGTTGTGCATCTTCCTTGCCCACCACTGCCCTCCCTGTTTCCCAGCCTCCCAGCATCCCGGGACCGGAAGGCAGCTGTGGTGTCCCCAAGCCTCACCTCTCGCTCTCCCCAGGGGATTCATCTCCCACTTGGCTCACAGCGTCCACACCCTCCTGGCACCCCTCCGAGTCTGACATCTTCCCTGCTGGCTGGCGCGGCAGCCGCACGGACAGCTCCAGCGCAAGAGTGCTGCCGCCGTTTCGCTTTTCCTGTGCTCAGCAGAAGTGAGCTGTGCCGGAAACTTCATGGTCTGAGGGTTCGGGGGGATGGGAGAGGGCAGAGGGAAGGTGAATTGGGGGGTTTCTTTTGGTGTTTTTTGGGGTTTTTTTCTTTTCTTTTAAACCACTGAGACTGACTTAAGGTTTTACCTGTTGGCAGCTAGGAATTTGGAAGTTCTGGGCTAGCCCAAAAGAAAAGCAGGGGGCGCGGACATCCCCACTGTGGCAGGAGAGGCACTGCTCCCCCAGCTGCCCATGCCACTCTGGTGACTGCCATCATCTCTAAACCACAGCACCCTATGCTGCACCAGTCCTGGGGTGCTGCCACAGGTGCTGCCAAGGTTGTCCTGACTTTACATCTCTCAAGGCCCAGTGCAGCTGAAGGATTTGCTTCTGCCCCGCCGCTGTCACCCCTCTCCTCCCTTCTGGGCTCTGCTTCTTCCCCACAGCCTCCTGCTGATGCCATCATGGGTTGAGGTTCTGCAACAACTCCTGGGGCTTGGACTGTTATCCTTTTGTCTCTTCCCTACTGGGCAAGGGCATGAGCCTTCCCAGCTTTGGAGGGGGACCAACAGCAGAGAGGTTTCCCTCCCCACAGCACAGTCCCTGTCAAAGCCTCCCCAGCCCTACCAGGAGCCCCACTGGAGGGGCAGACCCTGCTGGCACCATGTCATGAGTCAGGGTCTGGCCACCCAGGCAGGAAACACCCACCTCTCCCACCAAAACTTTATTTACATCACTGCTGCCACGACGCAGCTCTTCACAAAACTAGAGAGAAATGGCACCCAGTCAGTGCCCCTGAGCCCGGCAGGGCAGCAGGGACAGCAGGGAGAGGAGGACAGGTGTGGAGAGGCAGGTGCTTAGGACTCGCCAGCCTCGAACATCTTCTTTCTGCCCTCCATGCCGGACTTCTCCTCAATGTTCTTTCTCCAGTCACCGACATCACGAAGATCCTTCTCCTGAGGGAGGGATGGTCAGGTTGGTGTGAGTGGTGGCCCCCCAGCATAAGAGCCCACCTGGGCAGGGCCCCTCATCTGTCCACCCATGGAAACCCCCACAACAGCTACAGGAACCTAGTTCCACCCATGCTATACACCTTTTTGGACTGCACCCTCCTGTTTCAACATCATGGGTGCCAGAGGAGGAAATACTGAGCAGGAAGAACATTATGGAGAAAGACACACTCTCAACCCTGTCTATCACACAGGGAGGTGTGAGCCCTGAAGAATGGGGGCCAACTCCTGCCACAGGCACAGGGAAGAGGGAAGGAATACCTTCTCGGTGTCCTCCTTCTTCACTTGCTTCAGGTTGGCTCGGAGGTCCATGCAGACCTTGTGCTTGGAGCCCAGCAGGGCCCGCAGCATCGCATCAGCCGACATGCGCACCCTGCGCAGGGGCGGCCTCTTGAACTTGCCACGCAGGTCAAAGAGTTTCTGGCTCAAGTCTTCCAGCTGAGGGGGATGAAATGAGTGAGGCAGAGAGAGAGCAGGGCATGGGTTTCATGAGATGGACCCAAGCAGTGCGGGGAGGCTGGAGACTCCCTGAAGGGTGGCTCCAGGGGAAACTCACCTCCTTGTTAGTCTTCTGTAGCTTCACTTCTGTGTCATACCTCTCCTCATCCACTGACTCTATCTTGGCATGAAGCTTTTTGCACAGCTCCTGGGAGGAAAGCAGACAGGGATGTTGACTGCTGGACCCACACACACGATTCCTCCCTCCTGATTGCTCTGGCTCTGAAAGGTCTCAGTCCAGAAGACTAGGCGGGGTCAAGACCACATGGCAAAGGGTGGCTTGTCCTAATCTCCCTGCTACTGTCTTCACACAAATGCTACCTCAACACATCATCAAAAACACATCTTGCATGCCAGCCAGACCCCTTTATTTTTGCAGAGAGACCCCACCTGCCTCTCAAGCCAGTTCCACATCCATCCAGCTCCAGGGCACCACAGATGAGAAGAAAGTCAAGATGGCCAATCTAGATCCACACAGCTAACTGATGGAGCCAAATCTTTTCTGTTCCAGCACTGTGAAAGGGTTAAAGAAGTCTTTACCTGAAGTTCCTGCATGGATCCTGGGAGTGACAGAGGAGGGCAATGCTCTGCCAGGTAATTTTGCTTTTCCACTTCTTTAGCAGCTGCTTCTTTCTCTATTTCAGTGACAGCAAGCTGGAGCATAGCACTCTGGAAGGCAGCAGGAGAATGGTCAGTGCAGGGTGGAGGCAAGGGAGGAGAACAGGGAGCTCAACAAGGGAGTGGGAGCCCTGATAGAGAGGCAGCTTGGGGAGTTCCCATCAATACCACCATCTTGAAGCAAGAGATAGTGGTGGGGACACAGTAAAGAGTGGGCTGGGAGGCCCCCACATTGTGCTTCATGGCTTCTTCTCAGAGAGGGAGTGCTGAGATCTGGGTGGCTTGGGATGGGAGATGGGGTGGTGGGAACACACACTGCACAGCCACAGCAGTGCCACGTACCTTCAGGTGCTGCCGACGGGCAGTGGCTGCCCTCCTCTTTTTCTGCCAATGAAAGAAACAAGTGAGAAGCAAGTTATCAGGTGCCCATTCCCCTTTCCATTGCCCTTCCCCATGCAATGCCACAGTCCCCTAAGGCCCTGCAGCCCTGCCAGGGAGCTGGTTCAGCCAGGAGCTTGACACACAGTTGGTCTCCAAACCAGTGGCCCTCAAAGAAGAGTCTCCCTGCTCCATCCAGCTTTGCCAACCTCAGGAAGCTAAAACCTACAAAGTGCCTCAGGAAAAGATAACAAGGGTGATGAACTTGAAAATATGCATATAAATATAACTTCAAACTTGGCTTCTTGGGACTTTTAGCCTTTTCTCTATTTTCCTTTTCACTCAGACATGTGTTTTACTTTGTGCTCAAGCTCATGGCCCCAGTGTCTCTGGGCGCTAAAGAGCTGTGGGATGTCTTCCTGAGTAGTCCGTGGCACATGTCCTGACACCCCAGTGAGAAGGACAGGCAGGCAGGTGAAAACACGAAGGCTGTGTTTTTTCTTGGAGCTGAAGAGACCCAGTGCAAGTGATGCTGAAGGGCGTGTTTATCACAGCTGAAGGATAGACACGACTACAGGCTACTCTTCTGTACCTGTCATGTGCTGGAACAGCAGCAACAGGAATTTATAAAAGAAGCCACAACTTCTGCATTTCAGCTGTTTTCTCAGCATGTTGCCCAGAAGACCAGGCAAGGCTGAGTTGGGCTGGCACAGGGGAAACACACCACATCTGATATGCTGAGGGGTGGCGAGTAGAAAGCAGCACTTGGGTGTGAGTCTGTGCTGCATAGGGGAGGAAGTGGATAAGGATGTGCAGAGCAAAATGTAATAAAATCTGACATGCCTTTCATATGCAAATGGTGCCAAGGCCCTCCTGACAGTGCTGGAGGGCTCTGCAGAGGAAAGGCACCCAGCTCAGAGATGCAGCACACCATTAACTAGCAGATAATCAGATGCCTTGAGTGCTGTTAGCCTAGGGTTTATTCCTCATGTGAAAACTGGTACTGTAGCAAAGAGTGTCCTCACAGCCTTTTCTGGAAGCTCTGGGTTTGATGGGGAATAAAAGCACCTGTTGGATACCAGCACCATATTGTGGAGTTTCTGTGTGTCCCTGACATACTCTTTTCTCTTAGTGAGAACGAGCTTGAGCTTGTGGTGTTTCAGACATATGGGGAGATGCCAAGCAGAGATGAAGGATGGAGCAATTTCCTAAGAGGAAATGTGGAGTGACAAAGCCACGAACAATCCTCCCACACCCTCCCCTGCATTTCTCCAGCCGCCTCCAGCCCCACCTGGCTCTGCCAGAAGCCAGGGAAAAATTGCTAAGAATGCAACCTCCGCCCTGCTCACGCTCCCCTGGATCCGGGTCTCCCTGGACTGCCTTTGAGAAGTGATTTGGCAGTGCTCAGTGGGTAGACAATGAAGTGCTAGATGTGGGGAAGGAAGAGAGGATGCTAGGCTAAGGGCTGAATGGTGGATGGACGATGGAGGAGAGGTCGCTCTGGACCACTGCCTTCCCAGCACCATCTCGTGGCCGGCTGAGGAAGCAGGAATGGAGGGGAAAAAAGCATCTATCTCCAAGTCAGGAGAAAAAAAAACTCTTTCAAAAGGGATTTTTCTTCTCCTTCCCATGTTTACCAGGAGGAGTCATCAAGAAAGCCTTGCCATGAACCATTCTTCCCACACACACATAGAGCAGCTGATTTTCCTAAGGAGGAACGGTGAAGCCAGGGTGGATGCCATGAGCATCACTAAAGGAAAAACCCCAGCAAGACACACTTACCTCTTCACTGTTCAGGAAAAGCAGATGGGCAAGTAAAGGAAGGAAGAGAAAAGGGAAAGAGGAGAAAAAAGGCAGTCAGTTAGGATCCTAATTGGAAACAAGCCAAGGAATCTTAACAAACATAAAAAGTTGGCAGTTGAACAAAAGTTTTTAAATGCCAACAATATAGTAGAGACAGAAAAATGGGAACTTACTCAGACATCTTGGTTTAGATGGTTGTGAGCCTGAAATGAAAACCAAGAAAAAAAGTTCATAATTACTCATGCTGGTGGTCACTTTCTTGGGTTTTAAAAACAAAGCAAGAATCCTCTAGAAAATAAAAAGAGGAACAGGCTTGTTTTTATTTCCCTACTTCACCAAATTTTCATCATATGGGGAACTAGGCTGCAGTTTGTAGAGAAGAGCCAAACACACGCCTCCTCACAGCAACACAAACCTCAGCATCAGGGGACTTCTGGAAAAGACCAGGTGAGGCTGGGCCAGAAAATGGGAGATTTGTGACAGTGACTCTTGAAGGTATGTTTCTTGTTTGACCTTCAGTAAACAGTTTTATTCAATAAAGAAAGAAAAGGCAAAAGCTATTTTCAGTTTACTGCTTCGCTTTGCCATGCAGCCTCATCTTACTTCATGAGCAAGAACTACCCCAAAGCCTGTGAAGGGTTGGCAGTGACCCCAAGTAGCAAGGAAGGACCTCAGAGGATGCTGCTGCCAGTGCCTGCACCCATCGTGTGGGGCAGGGGATCCTATTACAGCAACCTCAGCACAGGTGGCACGGAGCAGGGTTGGAAGTTGTGGCTGAGTTGGTAAAGGCTTGAAGAGTTTCCCCCTTAAATAGAAATTTTACAGGTACAATGCAACGCATTAGAGAAGAGATGGAAAAAGCACCTTTGTTTTGTTCTATTTCCACCATAAATAGAATTTTACTCTTCTAGCAGAGCAGTATCTCCTGCTTGTGTCTCCTAATGGAATGATGCAGGAGTGTCAGCCAAGCCCAAACTGAGCTGGTCCTTTGCAGAGCAGACACGCCCCCGAAATACAGGTGTCTGCAGAGCTGGGAGGCTCTCTTGGGAGGTGAAGTGTTAACAGGGGCTCATGCCCGAGGCAGGAGGCACAGCTTGCAGGGCCAAGGAAACTTTATCCTGGAAAATGTGCAGGCCCATCACATTACTTTAGGGAGGAAAGGGGGGAGGAAAGTGCTTCTAAAAATGGCCAGGGAGCTGCAGAAGGAGCTGCAGCTGTCTCCTCGGACGGCAGCCTTTCCCCGGTGCCAGCCCCGTGACTCAGGGAGGTCGGAGCGATGCGAAGCACAAGCCACCGCAGGTGGCTGAGCTACAGCTGAGGGACGGGGCGGCAGAGGAACGCCGCCTATTTTTACTCACATCCCTGCCCCGCGCACACGCACCCACTTCGGCGGCAGCGATGCCGAGGAAGCGAGGGGACAACGCCAGGCTGCAGCTCACTGCCTGCCCTGTGGGCTTCAAAGCACCTGTTCCGGGGGGAGGACACCGTAAATTTGGATGTCGGTCCCTGTTCAAGGGTAGTTTTGGGGAGGAAGGCGCTGCAAGGACCAGGTAGGGAGCTGCAGGAAGGGGTGTAAGTAGGGAGTTATTGCCGAGTTACTGCAGGCAAGGATCCCGAGTCCTGTGGCCCCAGGGAGGTCAGCGCTAGGGAGCCTGTGGCTCTGCTTGCCCTCGCCACTCAAGCTGAGAGCAGAACCAACCAAGGGAGGGGAAAGCATGAAACCAAAAAGAAAGAAGCTCAGTGGAACAGACAGAGGGAGACTTTCCAATGCGCAGACCTCTCTAACAGGCAAAGGACAGAGCAAGCTTGACTAGCACCCTTGTTTCTCCAGCAGGTCAGCACTCCCACCTGGTATTTATATCCCTAATACTCAGGTGAGTAAATCTGCTCCCCCATCACCCCCTAAGAGCAAGCTGGGTCATTAAGAGATATGCAGAAAGGCTCACCCAAGTCTGGAGGAGAAAATCAGAGTCCCGCGGGCTGGACAGAATGGACAGACGAGCCGCAGGCAGCTGGCTGGGTAAGGAGGTATAAAAGGGCTTCTCGGGTGGCTCAGCAGAAAATCCACCTTCTCTTTAAGGGCATGGAGATCTTCTCAGACCAATGATGTGCAAGAGTCCCTTGTGCACCTCCCTTGGCTGGGGCAGGACAGGCAGGCAGGCCCGGAGAAGAGGGCGAGCCCCTGGGGACAGAGGGGTGGGGAGAAGGAGAACATCTTCTACCCATGGGGTGAGCAAGCAGAGGCACCCTGGAGGAGTTGGAGAGGTGTTTTTCCTCAGAAGTGACAAGGAGGGAGCCTTCCTTTCCCTCCTCTTTCCACCAATTAGTCACAATAGATATGGCGTCAGGATTGTGAGAAGCCCCAGCTCCCTGCACACAACCACCCATCTGCAAGGCCTCTAATAAAAATTTGTCCTTAGAGACACAGAGTGGCTTTTTCATGGACAAAGGCATGGCTCAGTTCACCCCCAAGGGCTTGTGAGCAGCTCTGCCCTTCAGAAAGGAAGAGAGGAAAGAGCCTGCACCCCAAAAATCCACTGCTGACAGCATGTGCAAGAACAATTCCTTAATGAGGCATCCATCATTAGCATGCTCTTTTAATCTCACTTATTTCCCTCACGTGGGAAACATTTGCAGCTCCTCCCTGTGTGAATATTTCAACACAACTCAGTTTTTTTTTTAAAACAAGTTGTATAGCGGCAGCTCCAAGGCTCACAGACACCAAGAGGCTGGGGAGAAGCAGCAGAGCATGGGGGAACAGCCCAACACTGCCAGCAAAAAATGTAATCCCCTCCATCAGATGACCCAGACCCACATCTCCATGGATCTGAAGGAGAAACAGGTGGAAACGTAGCTAGAAATATTCCCCAGCTCTGGTCACAGCACATGTAGTTTGTGTGTGTAGGGGATCCCATGGAGACAGGGACCCAAACAGCTCCTACCCTCCTCCTCCAGTCCAGGCACTCCCTCCTCTTCCAGCCAGGGTTTTTTAGGCTGATTCAGCCGTGGCCCTGACAATATTTTCCAGCTGCCTCCCAGGCATTATATAGATAGCGGCAAATCAACTGCTGAAGGCTTCCTGTTCCACCACTCTTAGCACTGTGCAAGTGGTGCTGCAGATGTCTGTGAAGGAAGAGCAAGTCCTTGGGATGAGCTGGCGTCTTACAGGGGCTTGCCCTGATAGCACGTGGAGGAGGGAGAAACCTCTAGCGTGGGCTAGGCTGGGTCCACTCAGCATTTGTCTCTCTGCAACATTGCAGCTACGCACATTCTGGCCAGTGCTGGCCCATCATTCCTCAGAGAGTAGCTCAGCTCTTGGTGGAGGAATCAAAACTGGGGGAGTTCTCCATTCAAAAATTCCCCACAGCCAAGGAGTTTCCTTTCAGCCCCGTGAGATAAAGGCTTTCTGGACCCCCTGGAGTCCAGGCATGCAGCACAGCAAATGAGATCTGCTCGGAGTTCCAGGGTTTGGTTATCACCTTGTGATAGGCAACTGTTGGCCTGAAATAGTTGAATAAAGAAGTTCAAAGAAAGAAGTCTGAAGAAAGAAGTCCCATGCACAAAATTTTGGTCAACAGATGTGTTTGCAGGATACAGAAGGAGTGGATGGTGAGGTGTGGTAATAGGATGAGCAGAAGGTCGAGCCTCCAAGTCTGCATAAGCCTTTCCATGGAGTTCTTTGTAGAAAAATTCAAGGAAGACATAAGGAAACTCCAGGCAAGTCCTTCAGAGAGCTGCTTGGCTCTGTGAGTATGAGGTGTAAGTGAGGGTATTACACAGGGGCCAGCAATGGACACTTGGGTATCTTCCTGTGGAGCACCTGACCTTGTTCCCTTCCCTCATTCCCCTTCACTTGAGCTAGAGGAATGCACCACAAGTATGGTCCATCATTCCCAGAGGACATTCACAATCCTGTAAGGCCAGACAGAGGGAAGACCTGACACATACAGGAGGTTCTGCACTATGTTTTAGAGAGACTCAGGTGTGGCTCTTTTGGTCCAGGCTTCCCCTCCATGGAACCACCACTTGTTAGAAGGGCTAGGCTGATGAATCTATGCAAGCTGTTCCTCAGAGCACTCTCCTACACCTTTACATCTTGCCTCCTCTTCAAAATCCTACAAGCATCAAGTGGACAGGCACTGTGGAGTGACATGACACTAGATGATACTGTGTCTTACTTCCAAGGATGATGCTGTTAGCAAAATCAAGCCTTCTGCTCAGCAGCAATTGCACTCATGGTAAAAGTCCAGGCAGGACCACTGGAAACCTGTATCTGACTGCCCTTTGCTTTCCCAAAATCACACTGGACTAAAGCAAAGAACACATGGCTCCCATCCTGCCCAGAACATACCCTATCCCTCCAGTGTACCCCTAAAAAAGCTCCCCATCCTCTACTTCTGCTTACAGCAGCCTCTAGGAACTCTACAAAGGAAGGCCATCACTTTTACATCTTGTGTCAATGCTGTCCTACATAACCCACAGCTACAATCACCTCATTTGCCCACGAAATGGGGTTGAGGTTTTTGGCTGTTCCTACTCAGGGCTGCTGGCAAACAACACGGCCACCCTGTCTGTTTAGCTCCGTGCTGTCTTCCTTGACAGGGAATGCTTCAGGCATTCATGCCCTCAGACTCCAAACCCACCAGCTGGTCCTGATGACACTCCTCAACATTCAGCTGGTACCTTATAAACTCATAAGCTGACAGCAGCCTCATACTCCTTGACCATCAGCTACAGAATGATGCAAGCAGCACCTAGAGAGAAGCCATCCCAGCAGTGGATGAGGACACACCTCCCCTTCTCTGTCAAGGCTTTGATGCACTCACTGGTGTCCCAGAAGCAAGGTTGCCCCATTCCATGACAATCCCCATGGAGCAGAGCCCAGATTCCAAACTTGAGGTGTGACCTGAACCCTCCCTGGGGCAGGTGTAGGGGATGCCACTCAGGCTGTGGTCACTAGGCAGGTCAGTGATGCTACCAGTGCTGTTAGTGTACAGCACCTGCCCACTGTAGATGAAATTGAGGTTCCCCAAGTAAATGCAGTCAGTTATCTGGGTAATAACAGGTCCTGTGAAGGGGCAACATGCAAGTTTCTGACCAGTGGACTCCTTGGGATGTGGGTTTTTCTTCCAGCTCCCCCTGAGGGATTTCTTGGAGCTGGCATGTGGAAGGGGGCTGGAATCAGGCTCAGAGCCCCACAACAGTGACAAGAAGAGGGAGAAGTGACTGAAAAGCTTGGCCTTGAAGGGGAGTCTGCTGAACAAGGCAGGGGAGGAGTAGAGGTGGGACTGGATCTGTGGGCCTGCACCACGGACTCCTTGCTATGGGCTGCCCCTCTGTTCTCAGCCTCTTCCATCTGTAAAAAAAATAAAGGAAAGGACTGATGAGACTATGGAAACTCATCTCTCCAGCTGCACATGCAAGGAGATGTGAGCTGGAAGCTGGCCTTGTCCAGAGCAGCACTTAGAGACACTAGAGGTCCTGCAGACCTTGCACATAACCAGGCCAAATGTCCAGCCATCCTCTTGCCCTGCAACAGGTACAAACATGCCTTAAAGGTTTGCCTGGATCTGCAGACCACTTTGCCAGCACCGGGGTGCTTGCTTGCTGGAGCAGTTGTTCCCTCCTGCTGATGATGCTAAGCAGAGTGACTGGGGTATCCTGCCAAGTTGCAGGACAATGGACACCACATCCCCACCCTTCTCTTCATTCCCTTCACTTTTATCATCACCAAGTTTGGACAAGGAACACGATCACTACATATGGACACCCATAAGTACTCACATAGGGATGATTTCAGCGTAAGCACTGGCCTTGAAGAGAAACAAGGCATTTTAATGATCCCTTCCATTTTAGAGGGACACTCTTTGGTGCTGCTGGAAGTGTTTGCAACTCACTGCAAGCTGGAGCCTGGAGGAAGGACAGCATTTCAAACTGAAAACACAAAGGGGTGAAGAGCAGCTTCAAGGAGAGGGCAAAAACCAGAAACTCCTCTGGATGAAGCCCCTTCTGACCATGGTAGCACACAGGGGCTTCAGTCTCCAGTGATGGAGAGCCTGTGTTTGTAGCCAGGGTTAGGATCACTTGGATCCCAGCTCAACCCTGGGCACACAGCTTACTCCTCTTAGAAGCTTTTCCCACTTCTGCCCAGGACCAGAAGTTTTGGACTCTGCCACAGCATGGCCCTTTCCTCATGACCCCAGGTTGAATTGGCAGCTCTCTGGAAAGTGAACACGTCTGCCCAGCATTGGTGCATGCCCAGGCCTTCAGCAGTTGATGTGTCCAGGAGGTGATCCCTGTGGAATTCCCACCAGGCTTGCCCCTGGATAGTATTACCGAAGTGACCAGACACCTGATCACAATCCTTCAAGTGTATGTGCATCCTCAAAGCCTGGTTAAGATCAGGACGTGACCCAGAACGTGTCTGGAGAACAAGCTGAGACTTCTGTGTGCTCAAATGAGTATGGCTGAAACATGTCCCTGCTCTCAAAAGGTCATTCAGGCTCTCTGTGCCAAAACAAAGCATCAGCAAGAACATGGTGCTAGTTAAAAAAAACAAACAAACAAACAAAAAACCCACCACCAAACAAACGAACAAACAAAACAAAAACAAAAAACAAACAAACAAAAAGGCCATAGAGCTCAAGAAAAACAGTAATAAATCACAAAGCTCTTCTCTCCCCAAGGTCAGAAATTACCCTACAAACCAGTAGCCATGCAAGGAACAATTCTCTGGAATTTATCTATTTCAAACACACTGCCTTTTTGCAAATGCTGTGTGACCTCAGACACCTAATTTTTCAAAAAAAGCTGTCAGCTGCAAAGACCCTTGGCAGCCTCACCTACCTGCACAACACAGAGAGCCTTGGGAGAAGACAGCTGCAAGGAGATGGGCCTCTGGAAAGTCTTCTGGAGGTGCTTCTTGGTCAGACTTGGGAAGTGAGGGGATGAGCTCAGAGTACAAGAGGGCTGAGCCAGGAAAACATAACATCCAACTCCAATGAGCATCTTTCAAGAACACCCCTAAATGCTTAATTCAGGGGGTATCTGAGACGTGAATTTTCCCCTATACAGCCAGACCTGAGTTAAGCACATGTGCAAAAGTCAGTGGTGGTGTGGGACGAGTGCACCCAAAGCAGAGAATCCTTCAGTGGAGGCCTTTGCAGATGTGAACACACCCTTTGTCCCATCCAGGGTAAACACCAAGGCCAAGTGTTTTAACTGGGCTGTCTTAGGTGACAACCTTCATGCCAGAATTCAGGCTTCTATGTCTAAACTGCTCTGTCTTTTATATAAGTTAAGAGGAAAATGCTCTCTATCTAGGGCAAAATGAAATGCCAACAGGGCAGGTCTCCACCCAGGATAAACCTCTCCTTTATAGGCAATGGGCTTCACCGGCTCTTCCAAGGGTACAGTGTTTCTCTTCCTAAGGGAACAATGACTGATTCACAGCTTGAAATGCCCATTTCCTACAGAGGGCTTTTTGGGCTCAGACAGGGACATCTGCAATGTCTGTGTGATGTCAGGGTGATGAAACACTTGTTTGCAAACCTACTATCTTCCCAGATGCTGCTCACAGGACGCAAAATAAGATAGGGATTGGGTTGTTTGCAGGCCAAGGCCTCTTTTCATCTCAGTTGAACTCCTATTCCTAACATACTTTGTGCTTGTTTCTGCTCAAATTGAACAGCAATAAGTGACTGCAGGGGTTTCATCAGCTCTGCGTGAAGTCAGCAGGGCTGGTTGAGAAACTCCCATCTTGCTGACATGCAACAAGTCATGACTGATGGGTACCCACTCGCCCATAATGCTGAATTTCTTTGGGGAGCACTTTTTGCCTGGCAGCATAAAAGCTATGAAATCCTTGTGCTGCTTCTCCCTAGGCTCCATCCTGCCTATGCCTGAAGTATGGACAAATGAGAGGTCTGTTTTTACCAGATCTGCCCACAAAGTTCAAGTGGAACTTCAGGAAGCAGGGTGAAGGGGGAGGAAAGGGTAGGAAAAAGGCAATAAGGAAAGGAGCCTAGGGATAAGGATAGGAATAGGGACAGGGCTCCTCGCATCTCTCTCAGAAACCGAGAGTTACATCCACAACAGACTCAGATGGGGCAGAGGAGGAAGCAATCACCCAGGAAGGCAGCAGCACACCATCCCACAGCCCTCCCAGACTCCTTTCCGCCACCCTGCTCCTGACTGCAGCACAAAGCCCCCACTCTCTCCCTCCCATGCAACGCCCTGGAGACCCCAGCACCCAGGCATGACCTATCAATCTCCTTTCCCATCAGTGCCAAGCGGGGAGGCTCTCCCAGCACCCCTTCCCAGTGCCCTCTTTCCCACCAGAGTTTCCCAGACACCCCTTGGCTGATGGCAGCTGTCCCCCCTGCCCTGTGTCGCGCAGGACCCTTCACCAGTCTCCCCTTGCTGCTGCAGTGCTTTACTGTAGGCAAGGGCGGGGGCCAGGGGGCCAGCAGCTGCCCCCTGACTGAAGCACTGACTGTCCCAGCTGAGGGGTGCTGGCTTTCCTCCCCACCAGCTTGCAAACGTCCCCATCACAGACCACCAGCCCCCCACAGAAAACCCCGGGCTCACGGCATGGCCGGTGGCTGCCAGGACCTTGCTCCTTTGCGAGGGCCTTAATCAAAAGCCAGCCACCCTCCTACTTTGCTGCAGGGTATGGAGCTGAGAGGCTCCCTCATATATTTACATAAACACACAAACACCCACAAACGTGCTTTAAAAGAAAAAGATGCAAACCTGCATAAGGCCCCTCAAATCCAGGAGCTAGAGCTTTTAAAAAATAAACCCATGCATGACAAAGTACCCATTTTGCCCATAAAATTGCAAGGCATAAAGATGATAGCTAAGGCATATTTATAAAACAGGCATGCTTGCTCCTAGTCAGAAGAGCTTAGATACTCTCCAGCTCTCAAAAACTCTAAGACTAGCCAAAAAATCTGTGGCTGGAGGACAGCCAGTCCATACCCAGGCCGAATGATGACAGCCTGTAATCATTTTTGTCTCACGGCAGACAACTGGTTGCAAGCACATATGAGGCTCAGCCTTCTCCTTGTGCAGCTCTCCCATTTGATTTCTTAAAGTGCAGGGAAAAACATCATAAAAATCACTGAATATGGGAATAATTCACTTTGGGAGGGACTTCTGGAGGTCAGAAGTCTTGGATCTAGATGTAAATAATTGAGATTATGAATCTTAATAGCAAACACCTCCATTTTCAGCACTTCTCATCTCCTTTAACAGACCTCTGCCTGGCCCAAGCCCTGCTTTTCACCTTGCCACCAAACTGCAAAGCTTCTGATTAAATGCAGAGTGACAAAATCCACACCCACTACCTGGGCACCTTGCACCATGCAGACTGGCTTTGGATACCTGCTTTTGCCCCCCTTAACCCACCAGCAAAACCCTCTTTGCCCCTGAGGTGCATGATCAGCCAAAGGCTGGCTCCTGCCTCCTGGAAAAGGCCACTGAGATAACCCCAGCTTCCAGCCACCAGTTGGCTACCAGCTGGCTCTGTGCCCGTGGTTTCTCTCCCACTGCTTTCTCTCCTTCTTGCAAACATGCTCCATGTCCAGAAGAAGAAATCTTGTCTGGCAAGGTTCTAACGGGGGCCACAGACCAGAAGACACAGAGACACCCAGCTCAGAGCGTGTACCTGCCCTGCCCCCTAGATGCAGACATGGGAATCCAGCACAGACACAGGCTGAGGACGGGTTGGTTTCCTCCTCCTTTAACTTCTTTTCCTATTTCATCTTCCACTCTCCAAGTGCACGAGCAGCATTGGTCACGTAGAAGATAGTCAGACATCTGGCCTTGGTGAATGAGGGACAACCAGCCTTGCCAAGGCCATAGGGAGGTGAAAAGGAGATGGCTTGCACACAAGGCAGGGCTGTTTGCCTTCCTGTGAACAGGCTCCCAAGCAGGCTGTGTTCATTTTGGGTGAAATTAGCCATGAAATGAAGCCCAGATCCACCAGCCCTGCTTCAAACAGCTGCCAGCAGACACTAAGAGGATCCTGCCAGAGGAGGAGAGTGCTCAAAGCCTTGCTGTAAACGCACACGGCATACTGAGAAGGAAAAGCGATGACGGAGGGAAAAAGCACCCTCGGTGGTGCATTAAAAACTGGAGCTGGGTGGAGAACATCACCACGTGCTCGCCTCTCCCTCCTGAACAAACAACTCGGATTGCTGAGTTTTACTGCACCAAGGCTCACTCCAGGCTGCCCAGAGCCAGTCCAGCTGGGTGCTCGCTTCCACATTCCCTGGCCTTCCCCCTAAAAGCACCTAAAAGCTCTGCTCACCCCACACTGGCAGTTCAGGCACTGAGCAGGGCCAAAGCTGGAGAGGGAAGGAGCAGGCACTGGTATAGGGAGTAATGTTTCTCAAGGAGGGGATGTCCTTGCACATTCTTCAACTACATCTGTTTGGGGCCTAATATGTACATGCTTTTATGTCCAGCCCCATAAATTATGCAGTGAACCCCAAGGCTATGACTTCAAAATAGGGGGACTGGAAAATACACACACACACACACACACACACACATGCACACACAAAAATACCTGTTCCAAACACCTCCAAAAGCCTTTCTGGGTCCTGCATGGCCCTAAATCATCACATAGCATCACCAAAAACCAGCCTGGCAATAGATTTTGGACCCCAAACCCAGTTCAGAGATGTTCCCTTCTGCACAGCCTGTTCTAGGCAGAGACTGAAGGCTGAGACTTTAAAACATCCCTTTACAAGTCTTTCTCAGGTGACTGATTTCCTCCTCCATCTCATTAGCGGCTGCCAGCAGATGCTGCTTCCCCAGCAGAAGCCACACTTCAGTTGTTAGTCATCTCAAAACCACCCTGTCATTTCTTCCCTCCTCATGGCCACAGCGAAGCCTGGAGAATATTTATCATGGAGCAGACACAGCAGCTTTTTACGGTTAAGCTCAGGTCATTAATCTCTATCGAGAGTTTTCATAATCTTCCTCAGCTTCGTGTTTGTTTAACTCTTGGATAGTTGCTCCATGGAGCTCTGGGTAATCACAGATTAACTGCTCTTTAATATTAATGGCTTTTCATTAATGCACTGGGCTATCTCCCCTCCAGAGCCCATGCAATAGCTATTAGTACTGTGCCTGCAGCTCCCTGTGGTGAAAAGGACTTTTGTCTTTTGGGCCAAAATTCCATGATATGAGCCCACATCTTGTGTGTGCTGTGGCTGCTTTGTAGCAGAAGTATTTTAGAGCAAAAGCAATTCCCTCCTCCTCTAGCCCAATCCAAGGAGCTTCCTCCTGCAGATGGCTCAGAGGAGCTGCTCTTGAATCACCCCAAACTGCAGTGTAATCAAGGGCATGTAGAGGTATGGCTACAATGCCCTCATCCTTCATGATGTCTTTACTTACGTAGCCCCCACCCTGCCCCCCACAAAGCAGGGCAGGGCAGGAACACGGCCACAAAAACCTTCCAGATCACACAAAACCTGCCCAGAAGTGACGTGAGGGCTGCAACCCAGCCTTATTAGGGTAGTGTGATCACTCCATGAAAGTGAGGGCCTCAGCCCTCACCCTGGCAGCACCTCCAGCTGCCAGAGGTGCAAACCTTGCTGCGCCACTACTGTAGGACCGTGCGGGGTGAATGGAGCTGACATTCTGCATCCTCATCTGTGTGGTCTGTGGGGATGCTCACTGATGAGTCCCATAGCCTGAGTCACATCTTAGAGCACACAAATCATCATGGGCTGGGAACAAGCTAAGAGTGAAGCCACATGGACAACCAGTGCCTGACTTTGCTGCCTCATTTAGCCTCTAGACAGGACACAGAGGACGCTTAATGCAGAGGCACTAAAGAGCTAGTTCTGTGTCTCCAACACCTTCCACATCAACCTCTACTCTTTCTCTCCTCTCAAGCCTCTTAGGTGCTTCAACGTCTTGGTCTTGTTTAAAAGCCTTCGCAGGACACATAAAGCCTTTCCAAGAACACGCCTCTTGTCAAATTATTCACAACCAAAGAAATTTTCCACCCATGCCACTGTCAAGTTAACCCTCTTCTTTATAAATATCAATAGACTCAGTGTGTTTGCATGAGCCTAAAGCTCCGTGTATTTTTCGCCCCCGGCCTATGAGCAGTTGGGATGAGCTGGCTCCTGCACCCATGCCATCTCCTCTAGCATCCTTTGCTCCATGTCCAGCATTGCCCTGGGATACCAAGCTGCCCCATCCCAGGCATTACACAGGGCATGAACTGCACCAGCAGCCAGATCATCTAGCTGAAAGTAGTCCCAGTCCCCTCTTTGCTGACACTGAGCTGGGACCAACACGTGTAGATGTTGCTGAGCAGAAGCTCCTCTCTCCTCCTCAAGCCCGCCATCCTGCTCCTTGGGTGGAGAAGGATACCCTCACTATCTGGAGGCCAGGGGAAGCTTGAGGTGAGACTTCAGTCCCAGAGCTTTGTCAACCACATCGGGGGGCTGCAGGACGTGCCACTGGGCGAGGGGCCGGCGTGGGTTGGACAGCATGTCGGACCAGTGCCGCAGCTGGTTGCCTGTGGCTCGACAGCCCAGGAAGAGTTTGCCAATGGGCTCATTCTTGGTCACTTTGTCATGGTCCCAGACGGAGATGACCACATCCACATTCTGGGGGGGACACAAGAAAGAGGGTCAGTGGGAGGGGGTTTGCTGCAGTGGGGACCTGCTCAGCCCTGGGCGCTGCAAGGAAACCCACCTGGATCTGATTGAAAGGCACCTCAAAAACAAACACCTCATTGAAGTAAGGGCTTAAGGTGTTTTTCTTCACACTTGTCTTCTTCTTCCTCCATTTCTTCTTGTTCAGGATGAGATGCACCTTGACAAAAGGATCTGAGGAAAGAGAGGACACAGCTGGCACAAGTGACAATTTTTGACTGAGGAGCTCAGCCACGAAAGAGGTTCCCTGAGCCATTCCCAAGCAGAGTATGCCATCCACTTGTCACTCCTCGTGGTGAGCCAGCCACCCCAGAGCTCACCTACTCCTGCCACGAGCTTCCTATACAATCCAGCCATAACATCTCCTCCTGGAAGATATCTCCAGCTCTGCACAAAGCTGGAGTATCTGTGCTGGGAACACTGAGAGTCAGCCAAAGTCTGGGTAGGGTGGTGGCAGCAGGAAGCAGGTCTTAACACCAAGAGCTTTCAAGGCTTTGCAGCTCTTGGTACCATCATTAAGGCCTGGGCAGGAGTAAGAAGATCTGACCAAGCAGCCCCTCCTGACCTGAGAGTCCATGAGAGTCCATCCTCTTCAGCTTCCTGGCTTCCAGGATGAGCACCGTCAGCTTGCCAGTGCTGGGGACATAGCGCAGTGAGAAGCAGATCTCACCCAGCTGCTCTTCCTGATGGAGAGATGCCAGCAATTAGTACCAGGCAGAGGACTCAGCTCACCTGGGGCTATGACACCAGGCCCCAGGTTTCCCAAGTCTCTCCCACTCTTGTGCTTGCCCCTAAGGGCCTGCTTCTTGGGGTGGTGGCAAGTGAAGCAACAGTGCACCCCTCCTGGCAGAGTTTCCCACCCAACAGGACCGACCTCCACTTTACTGGCCGCTGCCAGTTCACTCCAT